TTTTTAATTTTTATGTGTATGAGTGTATTGCCTGCATGTAGGTAAGTGCACTCGTGTCATGCAATGCCCACAGAGGACAGAAGAAGCAGCTGTCAAATCCTCTGGGACTGGAGTTATGGACTCTGCCTCATGAGTGCTGGGATTAAAGGCCTGCGTACCACGCCTGGCCTCTAAGCTGATTTTTTAAATCTCTAGAATTTCAGTGAGGTGTTTTACCGTTTCCATAGGGCACAGGTGAAGGCACACTGGGGCTGTAGAAGAGTAATAGGAAAATAACAGAAACCCTCTTGGTGCCTTGGAATGGGAGAGGTTCAACGTCAAGGCCTGGATGCCCGGGACCACGTGTGGGGTCAAGACCACACTGGCCCTCAGGGGAGGGGACATCCATTCTAGAGAGTCAGTCCTCCCAAGACCAGAATCTGCAAATGACAGAGGCCTCCCCTGTCCCCAGTATAAACCCAACAGAGAGGCAAAGCCACTGCCATGCACAGTCTGGGACCTCAGGGGAGGGGTTTGTGGGGAGTGCAGCCATTCAGAGAAGGCTGAAACTGCTGCCCAACATCAGGAAGTCCTCCATCCTCCACTCTGCTCCACCATCGTAATTATTTTTTAAAACGGCTAAAATGGCTTCTTTTCTTTTTAATCTGCAGAAATTGATTTGCATACCAAGTGCGTTGTGGATGTTGATACAAACAAAGTTATTCTGAATCCTGTGAATACCAATGTTTCCAAAGGAGATGCCCGGTAAGTGAAGAAACAGTGTTATGTTGAATGAAGTCACCAGGGGCTGCTGAAAGGAGCTCATTTGAGTAGATCTGGAGTGCTTGCTGTAGATACATTGCTGCCTTCCACGAGGCTGGAGAGGAGAGCAGGGCAGGAGTGTCGGAATGAGCAATCCAGGCAGTAACCCTGATGGATGGTAGAAACAAGAGAAGAGTCGACGTTGTAGGCTGAGGTAGTTGAGGAAGGGTTTAGGCAGGTGGTGCTGAAGGCTTGGTCCGTAGAAGAAGAGGGCGGAAGGGAGGCCTGTAAGTTGATGCCTTAGTGAGTGTGGCTTTTACTTGTGCCAGTTTAAACCCTGTCTGTCAAGCTGGTTTTAAGTGCTCCCTTCTTGAAGGTCTTACTGTAGACCTCGGAGAACCCTCTCCTCTAAATTCAGGTGGACTGTAGACTGTAGCATCTAGCTTAATAATTGTATAGTGATAACTCTAGTTCTGCAGTTGATTTAAGTCTTTGAGGGAAGCCTCGATTCTCTCAGGCTGAGGATGAATATTTGAGCATCTCTCCTGGATTTGGACATTTGCATGAACGAAAGGGAACGGGGGAAAGTGAACTGGGAAACAAGAATGAGACAATGTAGTTTCCTCGGCAAACAGAGAGAAATTAAGAGATTAACTAAGCTGGGCCCAAATTACAGAAAACCTAGAAAGCAGACCAGGAAATTGAATCTGTGTGTGTTTTGTGAGACAGGGCAGCTTGAACTTGCAGTTTTCCTGCCTCAGCCTCTTGAGTGCTAGGATTGTAGGTTGTCATCACACCCAGCTCTGGTTTGTGTTTGGAAAAAGCGATTTTTCAGTATTATAAGAGGGAGGTGAATTAGGAAAAGTTGTTTGGTAATGTAGAGACCAGGGTAAAGTAGGAAAGATGGATTTTCTGGAGATTACTTGTATGGGAGCTGACCTGCAGTTGAAGTCAAGGCTAGGGGACTGTGGCCTGGTGCTTCATGAAAGCAGCTACTTGGTAAATACTGTGGTGACAGCGTGGTGTGTGGACTCCACGGGTGGTCTTTCCATTTGAGTTGTAAAGAACACTAGGCTTGGGGTCAGGAAATCTGAACTGAATATTTCCATTTTAGCCTCCTCCCCAACCCCCGGTTTTTTTGAGACAGAGTCTCCCTGTAGCCCCAGCTGTCCTAGAAATTGCTGTATAGACCAGACTAGTTTTCATCTCACAGAGGTCCACCTGCCTCTGCCTCCCAAGTGCTGGGATTATAAAGGCACCTGCCATCATGCCCAATGTAGCTGTTTTATCCTTGAGACAGGGCTGTACCCATGGTCTGAAACTTTGGAGGATCTTCCTGCCTCAGCCTCCTGAGTACTGTTTTTTTTTTTTTTTTGGTCTTTTTGAGACAGGGTCTCCTTGTAGCCCCAGCTGTCCTGGAACTCACTGTGTAGACCAGGCTGGCCTTGAACTCACAGAGATCCGCCTGCCTCTGCCTCCCCAGCCCCAAGTACTGGTTTTACAGTTGTGGTTTTATACCTGGCTTGTAGCTGGTTATTTTTAACTTTTTGAATCCTATCTGTATGATGCCTGTTTTCTCTGTCTTAAAGAAGGTTTTTCTTTCCCAAAAATTCAAATTAGTGGTTGATCAGGTGTTTATAAGTGTTCTGCAAATGTAGGACTGGAGAGATGGTTCAGCGGTTAAGAGCACTGACTGCTCTTGCAGAGGACCTGGGTTTGATTCCCAGTACCCACAAGGTGGTTAACAACATCCCTAACTCTAGCTCCAGGGGACCTGACACTTTCTGACCTCCTTGAGCATTGCACCACATGGGTGCACTTACACACATGCAGGCAATACATTCATATACGTAAAATAAAAATAAGAAAATATCAAAAAAAGTTTTAAAAAATAAAGTGTTCTGCAAATGTTTATTGCTACTGATGTGGAAATAGTTCTTAAGTATCTCCAGTGATGAGGGTTGTAGGGTGTGTTGTAATAGCATGTAAAAGGTACAGACATGTAAAAATTGATGCTAGGAGACTGGAGATGTAGTTTAGTTGTTAGAGGGCTCATCTAGCATGCTCAAGGCCCGGGGTTCAATCTTCAGCATCTCATAAACGGGGCATGGAGGTATATACCTATAATCCTAGCACTGGAGAGGTGGAGGCAGAGGATAAGAAATCTGAAGTCGTTTTTGGCTTCATAGCCAGTTGGCTACCGAAGCAGTGCTCTTGGGATTCTGAGCTTGCCAGTGCAATGCACTGCTGCTGTAGATAGTGTTCGTTGGACTCCAGTGCAGATGCTTTGTCTGGACTGTGGGCAGCTTTCCTGTGATCTGGGCTCAACGACTCTGAGCGCAGTGTCCTGTGATCTGGGCTCAGCATCTAGCTTTGCTACTCGTAGCCACCCTTGTTTTTGTATGTAGATTTTTAGTTATCTGTTGCTTCCTCACAAGTGACCTCAAAATGCAGCAGTTTAAAAGAGCAGCAATTGTTTGTTTTGTGATTTCTGTGGGTACAGCAGGATGGTTTACCCTGCTCTGTGGGGTCTGGCTGGAGGATGTGAAGACAGGGTTTGGAATCTTCTGGAATGGACTTGGTTATCAGGCCTGGAAGTTGGTGGCCCCTTTTGGATGGAGGTATCTCTGGGGCTGTGTGCAGAACAGCAGTTCATAATCTTATGATGGGTTCCAAGGTAGGTGTTCCAAGAGAGACCAGGCCAGGAAGGGGTATGTCTGCCGTGTGACCTAACGTCGGGGCCACGCAGGCCAGTTCCATCACATTGTCTTGCTCAAGGCTGGTATAAAGCTCCATAGTTTATTACATTTTATTTATTTTGTGTGTGTGTGCATCTCTGTGGAGGTCAGAGGACAATTTATGGGAGTTAGTTTTCTCTTTCCACTATGTGGCTGCAGAGATTGAACTCAGGTCATCAGGCTTGGTGGCAGCACCTTATCCACTGGGCCCACATTCGTTTCTTGGTGGAGGAAATTGTTAGGTTGTAAGGACAGCATTGCTATGAAGTAGGGTAGACATCATGGTTGGGGACAGGGACTCAGTCTACAGCCACCTCGGAAGGGGACCTTGAGGATGGGTGAGCCACAGGTCCTGAAACAGTGCTGCTCCCCTAAGGTCTCCTAGTCCTGGGGCTTTGAGAATGAAGCAGCACTTTTTGGGGCATAGGCTGTCTCGAATGGCTCTTTCCCCATATGGTAAGAATATAAATTGGATATTATGTACTGTTATACAATATGCCCTGATTTAAAAAAAAAAAAGTCAGCTTATAAAAAGACAGTTTCTAAGAATTCTATGCAGTGATTATGGGTTTTGGTCAAGAAAAGAAACTTAAGTTGTGAGACAGGTCTCACTATATCACTGTGTAGCTCAAGTTGGCCTTGAACTAGTAATCTTCCTGCCTCAGCTTCCAGATGCTGGGACTACAGGCATGCAACCACCATGACCAGCTAAGAAACAGCTTTTTAAAGAATAATTTTTCATTGAAGTATATGATACCCAGGCAGTGGGGTGTATACAGCATGATGAATTTTCATGAATTGGATACACTTCCATACCTGGTACCACATAAAGAAAAATGAGCTGGTGAGATTGCTGAGCCGTAAAACCACTTGCTGCCAAGACTGATGACCTGCGTTTGATCCCTGGAACTCGTGGTGGAAGGAGAAACTGACTCCTGAAATTGTTCTCTGACCTCCACACGTGGGCTGTGGTGCACCGACACCCACACTCATACACACTCAGCATAATAGTAATAATAATAAAATAATTTTTAAAAGGAAAGGAACATTACTAATGTATGAAAGACTACTTCATGAGAAAAGCTCCTTCCCCCTCCCTCCCTCCCCTCTCCTCTC